ACTTCATATATATATATATAAATAGATATATATTTATTTATATATGCATGTATATTACATTACAGCATAGACTGACGAACAGAGAACGAGAAGAAATTAGAGCATCTATGGCGGCTGAAGGGAGCAAAGGAGAGACTCAAGTTGGTGAAGGCTGATTTAATGGAAGAGGAGAGCTTTGACGAAGCAGTCATGGGTTGCCAAGGAGTCTTCCACACTGCTTCTCCAGTTCTTAAACTCACTCTCGATCCAAAGGCATTCCTTCAAAATTCTTCCTTCATTTTCATTATTAAGTTTTTGTTGTAATTTTCTTCTAAAAATTTTAATCATACTAAAATTAGTTTAGAATATAATTTTTACTAATATTTTTAAAGAAGTAATAAAAATCTTACTGAATTACTTTTGAGTAATGTAAATTAATAATTTAAAACATATCATGTTTTTTCAGAATTTGAAATTAAATAAAAAATTATAAACTACTATTCTAGACATTTTTTGTCCTTAAATCTTGAGTACTATTATAGTATTGTTTATTTTTTAATTAAGTTTAATCTTGAAACATAATAACATAAGATTTTATTAAAAAAATAAAAATTATTATTTTTTGTTAAAAAAAAAAATTATGAATGAGAATAATTTTATAAATATAAGAGTAAAATTATTTTTAAAAAGTTTTTAAAATATATCATGATAAATAATTGAAGATTAAAAATAATAATTTACCCAACTTTTTTAAAATTTGAAATAATAGTCAAAATTTTATAGACAGAAATTCTAGAACCAGCTGTACAAGGAACATTGAATGTACTGAGATCTTGTAAGAAGAATTCTTGTCTGAAGCGCGTGGTCTTCACATCATCTTCTTCGGCTGTAAGAGTAAGACATGATTTTGATCCTCAAATTCCTCTTGATGAGTCATCTTGGAGCTCTCTGCAACTCTGTGAAACTCTTCAGGTAAATAATACAACTTTTTCTCCTCAAAGTTTTTAATCAATTATTCTTTTTCATTTTTATTTTTGTTTCTTTCTAAAACATATAAAATGAAATTGTTAAATACAATATTGATTAAATTTATTAATATCCCATGAAGTTTAATAATTTGAAGAAAAAGAACAATTTAAAATTTTTTAACAAATTATTTCTCTGTTCAATTAGTTTTATTGATGATGTATATTTTTAATAGAACATAACTTTCTTTGCACGATTAACAAGTAACAAAAATAAATCATATGAAAAAAATATATGGCTCGTGAAATTGTATATGAATCTAAATTCACTTTAACAAATTTTTGAAAATTATGGTGTGATATCTTTTTCATACTCTAATTTTGAGATTACTTAAATCTTATCAAGTTTTAAGTAATATAATTTTAGAAATAAAAATATATTTAACTTTTTTTACTTGTACCTCCGTGTAAGAAAACCTAAACTTACTTATACATTAATCTTATAAAATGAAAATATGCCTTAATAAAATATCATATTAGTTATTTACTCGAACTTACTTAGATGACATGTATTTATTTTAATATTTTGTATTCATATATACACTTATGTTTAAAAAGGTTTGGTATGCTTTATCAAAAACTATGGCTGAGCATGCTGCTTGGGAATTTTGCAAAGAGAATGGAATTGACCTAGTCACCGTCCTACCCTCATTTGTAGTTGGGCCTAGTTTGCCTCCGGAATTATGTTCAACAGCATCCGATGCGCTTGGTTTATTAAAAGGTACATGTTTCTTTAATAAATACTAAAAATTACAACAAACCACTTAATGAGTAGTTGAGGTGGTAAAAATTGATAGTCTTTTCAATATTTATTTAGACGAATTTATATTTTTATGGTTAACGTTAAGCGTAAAAAGAATAATAAATCCCATTGATATTCATATTTGAGAGATTTTCTCTCGTTGTTGGAAAGTCCAAATCTCTCACATCAATCAAGTTAGGAGTATGCACTAATCACCTAGGAGTATGAGTTTATTGCATCTCTTTAGGCCCTATAAGAGTGGTAAAAGTCTTGGCTAACTTTATTCTATATTTCTTTATAAATAATTATAATAACAATTAGAATTGATTAATCAAACGATAATTTATTTTTCTGTATTTTTTTTTATTTAGGCAAAAAGAAAAAGAATAATTCTTACCAAATGATTCTATAATTAAGATAGGAATAATAAAAAATATATATATTTTAAAATTGTGAATTGGTCTCTCACATCAATAATTCTTACTAAATGATTCTATATTAAAATTGTGAATTGGTGCAGGGGAAACAGAAAGATTTAAATGGCATGGAAGGATGGGTTACGTTCACATAGATGATGTTGCAACCTCCCACATCCTTGTTTATGAGAATGAAAAAGCAAAAGGACGGTATCTTTGTTCTTCAACTGTTGTAGATAATACTGAACTAGTATCCATTTTAATAACACGTTATCCATCACTCTCTATCCCTAAGAGGTAAACAACTACTATTTTCATAAACTCACTTCATTATAGTAATAAAGTTTTTTATTTTATTTATTATTTTGAAATTTCAGTTTCGATCAATTGGACAGACCTTACTACGAATTTAACACGTCAAAACTTAAGAAGTTAGGCTTGAATTTCAAATCGATTGAGGAGATGTTTGATGATTGCATTGCATCGTTGGTGGAACAAGGCTATTTAGAAGGAGTTTAATTAGTTGTCTACAAAATATTATGAATATTAGTCAATGTACCTTGTAAAATGAAGAAAGAAGGTTGTGGTTTTGGGTGGCAATTGTTGGTGTAGGTTTGAGTACTACATGTGGACACGTATCCACGTGAAGGCTAGTGGCTTGTGTGGCTGCAATTGCTACCTTCTTTCTATCATCAAACACAGGGTCCTTGATAGACCCACTTAAACATTATCTTATTATTATTATATATATATATATGTATATTTTTACTTTTTCATGTCATTGTAATGTATGGTAATGGGTAAATAAAAATAATTAAACTTCAATTTACTTAATAAAACTATATATAATAATAAGAAATCATAAACTCCAAAGCATTTGAAACACAACAATCCCATTTCTTTTATAAATATCTAATTGATTACGTTTTGCAAAAAAAATTTAATATAAAAAAAGTGAATGTTGATTTATTATTAAAATATGAAATAATATATAAGTTTAAGACTAATATTTCGGACTTAAAATATCTGAGATAAAAATTTTCACATGAATTTCAAGGACAACCATAACTAACACTTGCTTTATATGCAGAATTAATATGACATAAATTTTTTATGTTCTAAGAAAAACGACATGTAGTAATTATAAAACATAAAACTTAACAAATTTTAGTATAAAACAAGGGGGATAATGATGATTGCATTAAAATCAGTGTTATCCGTAAATTATAGAAGCGTAAGAGGCCAGAGTTACGGCATGAAAGAGATGGATGAGCCTGAGATTTGGGACACGACGTCGTATATTGGACGTGGAAGTTGTGCAGAGCGTCGTACTTTATAGTGCTGTGGTCCTGCGCTGTTACTATTACAAGAAAGAAGAAAAATGCTATATTGTGTATTCGTAGCCTCAAAAGTGTGATAAGTTTTTCCAACCATTTCTTCAGTTTTCTTTACATCTACAAATATATATACACACACACAGACACGGACACACACATTTTTCTTTCATGAAAAATCATTTTTGATCTCAACCTGTCAAAATTCAAAAAACGCCCTGCTCTTCACCACTCTTTCTATTTCTTACGGGCTTCAATTTACATCCATTCAAAATTTCTTTTCCTTTCTTTCCAGAGCCGATACCTGGAATGAGCTGTAATGGATGAAATTCTCGTTCACTCTGCTTAGTTCAAGTGAAGTGGACAGGGAGATAATCTTTTGGAGATGGATACACCGAGTTCAAAATCATCTGCAGAGGCTAATCCTGGTGGTGAACTTGAAGCAACAGCTAGTCATCAAGTAGAGGAAGTTCCTAGTGGGAACAAGTGGATGGCATTTGATGCAGGTAAGAGGTTGAATGATTCTAAGAGAGCGCCGTGTGATGATATTTTAACAGGAGCAAGTATAGAGGAGAGGACTGCAGAATGGGGAGTGGTTGTGAAGTCGGATTTTAGGGCATTATCGGAGAGATT